ACGATCTCTTGTTAAGTTGGATATTCAGAAATGTCCAAAATTGAAGTTTGTTCCAAGTCTAGAAGGACTTGTCTCTCTGAAAACAGTAAAGGTGGAAGATTGTGGTGGATTAGAGTGTTTACCGAGTGGGCTCTCATCCTGCCCTGCTTTGGAGGAATTGGAGATATGGCAATGCTCTAATTTGGTTTCTATTCCAGAAGAAGTGAAACAGTTACGGTCTCTTGTGAAGTTGGTTATTTGGAAATGTCCAAAATTTGTTCCTAGTCTGGAAGGACTTGTCTCTCTGAAAACAGTAGAGTTGAATGATTGTGATGGATTAGAGTATCTATCGAGTGGGCTCTCATCCTGCATTGCTCTAGAGGAATTAAAGATACTGAAATGCTCTAATTTGGTTTCTATTCCAGAAGAATTGAAACAGTTACGGTCTCTTGTTAAGTTGGATATTTGTGAATGTCCAAAATTGAAGTTTGTTCCAAGTCTAGAAGGACTTGTCTCTCTGAAAACAGTAAAGGTTGAAGATTGTGGTGGATTAGAGTGTCTACCTAGTGGACTCTCATCCTGCACTGCTCTGGAGGAATTGAGGTTACAGAATTGCTGTAATTTAGTTTCTATTCCTGAAGAATTGAAACAGTTACGATCTCTTCTTGTGTTGAATATTTGGGAATGTCGAAAATTGAGGAGCTTCCCAGAGGAGATCTTGAGCTCCCTTGCCAGCTTGAAGACATTAATGCTTGGCCTTCTCTCAGAAGAGTTGGAGGAATTCCCAAATTTGAGTTCTACTTCCCCTTCCACTCCAACCTCCCTTGAAGTCTTGGTTTTGGGTGGATGGGGAAATGTAACTCTGCCACATCAAATTCAACGCCTCACTACTCTCAGGTACTTAGCTATCAAAAGCTTCAATGGAGTGGAAGAAGCATTATCGGGAAACCTATCTTGTCTTAAAACACTTACAATTGAGGGTTGTACTGGGTTAAGGCGTCTATCAAGTGGGCTGTTATCTCTTGAGAGACTCAGTTATTATAATTGCCCTAATCTGGTCTCTCTTCACGGAGAGTTGAAGGAATTGCATTCTCTAACCATTTTAGATTGTCCGAAATTGGTGGGCTTGCTAAAGGAGAGTCTCGGCTGCTGTACTAGGTTGAAGAGATTACAGATAGGCCGTTTCTCAGAAGAGCTGGAAGAATTCCCAAGTCTGAGTTCCATCCCCGCCTCCCTTGAACATTTGACCTTGACGGGATGGGAAAAACTAACTCACCTCCCACAAATTCAACACCTCACTGCTCTAAAGTGGTTGAATATAGAGCACTTCAATGGAATGGAATTTTTGCCAGACTGGTTTAACAACTTGTCCTCCCTTCAACGACTTGAAATTTGGAACTGCCCAAACAAGTTAAAGGAAAGATGCACCGAGGGAAGCGGTCCTGACTGGCACAAGATTTCTCACATTCCATGCATCGTAATAGATGGGGAGCTCATCCAATCCAAACACTGAGGCAAAGAGGTTTGTCTTCTCTTTTTTTCTCACAACTGCACTTATACGAATTCCAACACCAAAAAG